ACAGAAAGGAGCAGCAAGTGGCCGACCAAACTTACTAAGAGCTTCATGGTGAAAGACGTCAACCATGAACTGTTCTCTCTCTTATATACTCGTGTTTTCACCGCATCCGAGAACCGCCCCGCCTCGACTCTTTCCTGTCTGGGACCACCTCCTCCTCGTGGGAACAAACCAGTTTCCTGCCACAACACTTTCCATGAAAACCACATTAATCTTTTATATGAAATAGTGCACATGAATAGATTGGGTTTATCACACACACACACACACACACACACACACACACACAACACACCACACACACACACACACACACACACACACACACACACACACACACATACACATACACATACACACACACAACACACATACACACAGCATACATGTGTGGAATTCATGACGAACAGATAGCGAAAAGGCCTTCGGCATATTCGTGTGTTTCCTTGTCCTTCCCTTCGTTGTTCCTGTCACAGGCATATATGTATATGTTGTATGTGTATGATATGTATATATTTACATGTATATATATATATATATATATATATATATATATATATATATATATATATATATATATATATATATGTTTATGGATATAAAGAGACTGTAGATGTGCAGAACACAATCAAATTAATATTCATATCTATAGAACGATAAAGTTCGCAAGTATTTCATTATTTCAGTTCTAAAACAGTTTAGTTTAATAAATAAATAAATAAAAACGATCGGCATAAAAAAAAACTATATATATGAAATCGTTTCATGCAGTTTGGCAAACAATTCCAATACCCCAAACCTTCATGTTTCCCATGAAAGCTGTGATGCCGGGTCATAAAACTTGAAATCAAAGAGAATGAGACGGCATATGTAACTTTTCTTATTGTTAGGGGTCAAGATCCTCCGAAATAGACGAACTGGTTAGGTAAAGCAAGGATCTCGGCAACGACCTTAGTCATCTTGTACCCATGCAGCCTGTGCTTTCTCGGTCTGTTCTCATGTTTCGGACGCACGAAGGTCTTACCTCGATGCTTCAAATACTCAGTCATTGTCATCTGTATTAATGATATTATTGTTATTATTAATAGTATCAGTTGTAGTATCGTTATTACTATTTCATTTTTATTTTTATTATTATGGTTATTATTATTATTATCATTATTATTATTATCACTACTACTGCTATTATCAATTTTACTATTGTTATCATTATTATCAAGATTATTAGGAATATTATATAAAACGCTTTTCAAGGTAAAATGTATAATTTAAAGAATATATTTTGGGAAAAAATATAGAAATTCACATAATGAAAATTTAATAAGTCCTCCGGTGACCTTTCCAGCCTTGAAGAGTCTCAAGTACTCAGGCATTATAAGAAGGAAAATATACAAGGCTTTCCAACGTAAGGGAAAGCATGACTCAGCCAAAACGAGCAGGACCAACTCCCAAGCACTCCGTCTCGAAGAAAGTGTTAACGATCGCATTACTCTTAACTTTCTTCTGGGCAGGATTCTATTACTCGCCATGCGTAACAGATCAACTTTCTTTGGCCACTTTCAAAAACCTGATCTTTTCTTTTCAATGCAGACATTTATTGTTGCATAATGATATGGCATCATACAGAAAGCTAAGCGTATCCTATATATTCACGCATAGGCAAAGCAACACACACACACACACACACACACCACACACACACACACACACACACACGACACACACACACACACACACCACACATGGCACACACACCACAAACACACACACACACACACACACACACACACACACATCACACACACACACACACACAAACACACACACACACACACACACCACACACACACACACACACATACACCTTTTTCAATAGGAAGACACTCCCAGGACAGGCAATTGATGAATTTGGGTTTTACTGATTCGCAAGGACACTGACAACTAGCGCAATAAAATTTGAAGTATTAAGAAACGAAAATCATGGCCAAGGAAATTTGGTCTATGAGACTTAAATACTTATATAATATATATTATACTATATATATAATATATATATATAATACTATATATATATATATATGTGTGTGTGTGTGTGTGTGTGTGTGTGTGTGGTTGTGTGTGTGTGTGTGTGTGTGTTGTGTGTGCACTGGTGTCGTGTGTGTGTGTGTGTGAGTGTGTGCGTGAGTGTGTGTGTGGTGTGTGTGTATGCATGACGTATAATATATAATGTTCAATGACACGATGATAGAAGTATATGTATATATAAATATATAATTATATAATTTATATATAGTATATAATATATATATATTAAAGTATAGTATATAATAATATAATAAATAAAATTAGTGTAATATACATATATAGTATCATATATGATTATATATATAATATATAGGTTATATATATAATAGTATATATATAGTATTATGATATAATTAGTATAAGTATAGCATAGTAGTATGGGTATTACATATATTAACATATTATACTTATTATATAT